ACATTTTCTCATGGAGCAGCATTCAATTTACGGAAAGCCCCATAGCAGCAAAACTAACGGAAAAACAAGAAGATACCCCCTTAGGGCCTTTTGTAAATTGATTCTTGTTCCATGAGAAAATGTCGTAAACAGCTCGGAGACGTCTCAATTTCTCCAGAAATGTTTGCTCTACACGATCAACTTATTTGCAAAGAATTTCTGGATTGAACTCTGGGACTTGGTTGGTCTGAGATTTGAGTTTTCCAGAGAGCCTGATTTCAGGAGTTTTGATAGAGCCTTTGTATGCATCACCTGAGATCGGAAATTTTTTCAGCTATTCAAATCTTTTTTCAAATTTATTCTAGCTATTATGATCATGCAATAATTGCAACTAGACGCATTTATATGTCGCCGGGAGCCAAAGGGTTAATAGCAGTAAAACAGTCGAATTCGAAAAAAAATCTTTATTCGATAAAAAACGCCTTTGGGAGACCTCTGCCATGTATTTTCGTCAAAAAATGTTTTATTTGTAAAACTAACAAATTATACATCATTCGATGCAGTTTTTCACACTGATCCCGAATACGTATAGATTGTTTGGATAAAAGCCTTTTTTTAATGAGAAAAGAATCATTTTATCAGAAAAAACCGAGAGTTTTTTGAAAATCTCCCTATACATCCCTAGATACATTTCCGCGTTTAACCGCTTGTACTACAGATGCAGGAACATGAGATGAGTATTTTAACCTCTTTTTGAACTCGATTAGTGCTTATCGGCCAAATTTGGCCAAATTTCCGCCTAAAAGCCCACTGTGTTATGTGGACTATTTTACTCCTTCAGGTAAAGAAAAAAATCTTTATGCTATAACGTCATTGAGAAAACAAAAAACATTTTATAAATTTTGCATGAAACTGAGATAATTATAAAGAACACAGAACAAATAAGTAAATTATCTGTTTAGAAAATTTCTCGAGAGATTCAACGCAAATATAATTACATTACACATGGTTCGAGGATATTTTTATATAGAATGAAGCGTTTATTTCCATAATAAAACAATGGATTTTTTTAAAAAAATCTCTTTATTTTTGCTCCGAAAGGTTACGAGTATCATCTGGTGAGTAATAATATCATTTTTTAAAATATTGAATTCGTTCATCTTTATGGACTTTTTTTGCCTTGTTCTTCTTACCGATATCGTTTTAATTTTTCTTTCGTGTACGTGTAAGAAGAAACACGTCATATCGAAGAAAGAAAAATATTTTTGATTCATGCTTTTCTCATTCTATTTATTAAATTGAAATATAGCGCAGAAGCAGTTTTTTTTATTTTGCTCTGTTCTGTCTACTACAACTAGTATTATGTATCAGCATAGAATCTTAGGAAATCACTCATGTAGTCTATCTAGTTTTTACAATTCTAACACATATACTTTTTCTGATGTATTTTTCACATTTTTAACAATCGCAAAACATTAACACAAGCAATGCAGTAAATCGATTTCATCTAATATTTTCTACATTGATCTTTCCAAGAAGATCAGACAACTAAGTGCAGATATACAAGATGTTTCTGTCGCTGTTTATTGTATATCATTTAATGAATATTTTCTTTATAGTGTATTGAGTACGTCTAACTTAATAACTGCTCAGTATATAGATAGAATATATAGCCAGTTCCATCTATAGCACAATGATTCCGTTTTTTTCTCTTGTTCCAGATTCAAATCATTGAATACAACCAATACAACAACCAATGTTACCAATAATTTCATATGACAAATAATAAGAAGGATTTATTTCCAACAAAAATGAACGATTTAGTCACAAGTGCATCCAGAGATTTTAGTACAATAGATGAGACAAAGTTAAGTTTAATAAGTGGAGGTCAGATTTGCTATTCATTTCAAAACCAAAAACTTCTGGATGGTCGAGCGAATCTAATGAAATGGTGTGCACTTGCTCTATCTCTACTGACACTATTTATTACCTATCGTTATGTATCGATCGTCGTATTAGCCGTATGGTTTGCCAGCATTTGTCGTCCACTCATGGAGTATCTAGTCAAATATCTGCCGTTGAAAAAACGAACATCGAAAGAGACTCGTTCTCAGGCAATAGCAGCCACGATAATTATTGTCATTGTGCTATGCGTGATTATACCGATTATCGTACTTATCGTTGCATTATCTAACAGCGCATTAAATCTCATCGCTCGTCTTGCTCAATCGTCAACTGTTCGCAATGCAATTAATTTTATCGTTGTACCATTAACGTCTAATTCAACGTCGACATCTGATCTATTCGATTTTTCTTCGACAAACACCACAAGTTTTATTCAACGTCTGCTAGCACAACAAGAACTCACAGATGCTGTAAAAAGTTTTGGGGGAAAAGCGCTGAGTGTTCTGTCATTAGTGGCGAATGCAACAGCACAATTTGTTATCGGCATTCTTATTTTTCTAATAGCTACTTATACATTTCTTGTTGACGGACCAGAATTGTGGCAATGGATGATCAACCATAGTCCGCTATCAGCTAAACATATGAATCGTTTAAAAAAAGCTTTCGATGAAACTGGGCGTGGTCTATTAATAGGTGTGGGTTTGACATGTTTAGTGCAAGGTATTGTTGCTGCTATTGCCTATTTATGTCTACGTATTCCGCGAGCGTTAGTATTAGGACTTTTAACAGGTTTTTGTTCTCTTATTCCAATAATCGGTACGGCAATTGTATGGATACCGATCACAATTGGTTTCATCTTTCAAACGCAATATATCAAAGCGGGTATTATGATAGTAGTTGGAGTGCTGGTTATTGGATCAATCGATAATCTGTTACGGCCACTATTCTCTAAATTGGGTGCTTTTGAAATGTCAACATTATTACTCCTTTTATCAATATTTGGTGGGATTGAAATGCTAGGTCCCTGGGGAGCACTTTTGGGACCAGTAATTGTGAGACTAGCAACAGAAGCACTCATTCTAGTACGCGAAGATCAAGAAGAACCAGAACAGCAAGAAAATAACTAGATGCCAACTGCGTACTGTAAAGATTGGAAGCCGATTGAGTGAAATATTTCTGGAACCGGTTAGCTTCTAGCTATGACATAAGCTACGTAGATAATTAATTTAAATAAGAAATATCTCACCGGAATAACTTAGTGTTTTTTCCTTTAGCTACAACAGTACAGCATATTATTCACATTATCGTATTAGCAGATTCATTTCATTATCCTTTCATACACACTGCTATAGTTTTCATCATATCAAGCACTATAGTATATATTCGCTATGAAGGATATCACATGATGGTTAATTGTCTGATAGGAGAAACGATAGAGTTTTCTGAAAGATATATTGAGTTTATGGCACTAATTATAGGATACCTAAAGCAAATATCCGAAAACTAACTTCAGTTGTGTCATGTACGACTTTTTTACTTTCGAGTCATCTTTTTCTCAAATCGCTGATAATCGAGAACGAGCGGCTGACTCAAAGCAGAAACTAGAAAGCCAACTACCCTGCGGACAGGTTGGAAATCCTATCGAGTGAAACGTTTCTTAGAAACACTTCAGACACCGTCTGAATTCCTTGAATATGGTTAGAACATTGCAGTGCTCTGGTAGTAAACATATTGATGCATTCTATCAGTAGTAATGTTTCAGATTACAAATGCATCAGACTATACTAGACTGATAAGTAGCACGTGATTACTTAATGAGTCACTCTATACTTTGCAGTGCATTATCCACAGCTCTTGCATTCTCGAATGATGTTTTTCCCAAGGCTGTACAATTAGTGATAGATAAGAACGAGTGGTTTACTCGAGCAAGAAAAGCGTGTGGAAAGAAAGAAGAATTTTTTGTAGTGAAATAGAATGATCCTCCCTGAGTTTCACTCAATCGGCTTAATAAGCTTTAATCTTATCGTGTTGGTTATTCTGATTTTTACGGCAGAAATGCTTATGATTCATGAATATTTATTTTTCTGAATCTTTCGTATGCTTTTACTCATTACTAGAGATTCTTATATGGTAAACGAAAGAAAAACAAAAAACAACATAGAATGAAGTGCTTCAAAAACGTTTTCTATTATGATTTAAAATGATTGCAAATAATAAAAAGAGGAAGAGTAAGCAAAAAAATCGAAATGACGGCAAAAAATAAAAAAATAAAAGAAGAAAAGCAAATATCAATTATGTAAGAGAGAATTAGAAAATTATTCCGGATGAAAGAACGCATATTACTAACGTTGTACACAAAGGCTTGGTTTCCAAAGCACAATCAGCGGTCATAATTCTCTCACTAAGTTGAATATGCTAATAATTTCCTCATCGCAATTTGACATGATGATGTTTGCATTACGAGAAAAAGACTAGTGTAGACATATGTGGGACGAAAGTTTCTTTCAACTAGAATCCTACTAAAACATTTTGACAACGATGACTCTAATTCTACGACCCAAGATTTTTAAAAAGAGAGTTCATGATCTGTATGAATGAGTTTTTATTCATTCTAAAAATACATCTGATGGTCCGTTGTACTCTGTCTCGTTAGTGACGAGTTTTGAAACGCTTTTTAGATTTGAAATAAATGAATAAGTTTCATATTCAATTTGTTTCATCTGTCTATCCGTTTTTTCTATCAGTTAATAATGAGCAAAATGACAGAGACAACACTTAAAAAAGAAAACAGGAAGAAATCGAGTTTTTTATCATCTTTAAGATGAAAAAAAAATGCATACGACGTTGTCGTTACTATGACCAAGAGAGTCTTGCGCTAATAATGGTATGATACAGTGTACTTAAATTTGATACATGGTAGACTGTTGTACCATTTGTCTGCTTTACAGTTGGAATTATTAATAACAAATTTTTAAGTTGATAACAAGGCTTGGGCACATGAAGTGTCCCTTCATTGATGAGTTTGAAATAAAAATAAAAAATCGCCGAATGTCATGTTGCAGAGCGTGTCGATAGTGTGTAAAACTATCTTTGTCATTTCCAGCTGTCGTTTTTAAGGGTACTTTCTTGAGACTGTAAATGTGTTGAGCAAGATAATGGCAAATATCTCTGATTAACTCGTTTCTGGTGTTTCGTGTGTAACAATCTATTGAATAATTGTGATGAATTCAAAAACAGCCCAGTTTGACCATTGATATTAAGCGTTTATTTGATCTATTGATTACTTTCATCGGGGATTCCAGATCGGTTGATTCTGGTAGAAAAATTCTGATTTTTGGAATTTTTACGATGGGTATGACTATAGTTCACAAGCGACTTCGGTAAACAACTTCAAATTTTCAGAGATTATCCGGACGGTGGGTGAGCACAAAATAATGCCAGAATGAGCTGTCTGGATGGTCTGGTTGCATGTATGTAAATCTCTAACGCTTTACGAACTACGTGTCACTGAATCTCGTTTAATTTTCTTGTACAATAGTAGTTATCACTTGAAAATTTCAGGATATACATTGATCTATCTCCTAGGTACGATTCTAGTGGTAAAATGAATGAAAACTATTCATACTGTTAGAAGGTTCAGATCGGCTAAAAAAAGTAGAAGTTTCTCGTTTTTAAGTAGAGGAAGTTCTCCTTCAATTTTTTGCCATCTTGCATGCAGTAAGTGGAATAAATATCGAGAACTGTGAAGAGATCTAGAGATCTCTATCTTATCACATAATTATTAGTATCAGTGAGTGCAAGCCATGATATGATAGTGATATATAGAAGTAGATGTTGTATTATATTTCAAATACATGAAACATCAGTTTTAATGAACATTCTTTCTTTTTTTACAAATGCAAAAAAAAAACACAGATAGGCACCAGTTAGACTGGTGACACCATTTCTGGAACTTGAGCATGGATACTAAAAATGATACTTGAAAAATGCTAAAACAAGAATGTTGCTACCTATTCAAATGTAATGTATCGTTTGAGCATATTTGATTGTATATTTACTTTGTCTAATGTATTACTATCAAAAACTCTTAAGTTTTGTCTGATTTTAATTCTCATAATTTCTTTCAAAGATAACGGATTAATTGCATGTTTTAACAGTAATTCTTGAAATTTATTTTCATGTTGAAGGAATACTTGAGGTTTTGATGTCAAAAGTTGTAAAATGTAACTCGCCCATAGACGACTGCCCGGGATATGTTCACTTCGTAAAACAATGGAAAGTAATTTAAATAATTTACCTTCATTTAATTCACGTTGTTTTTCTGATGTTGAATTTTGAGCCTGAATAGTGACCAATGTTGATGGAATAAGTAAATTTTCTAATAGACTTCGAATTGTATTCTGAGATGTTATTTTAGTTCTCAAACGAACGTAACATAGAATACAGTCTAAATAATAATCGAAGCGTAATAATAAATTTTGTTGTATCGATACAGGCCAATATTTACATAACCAATTTAGATCATGCCAATCTTTTTCAGTTAATTCTATTTTTGAATCGAAATTGAGCAATTGTTTAACGATATCTTCATTACATGACCGAATCGCATAATACAACGGAGTATTCTGAGCATCATTAACAACATCAATTTTGCACGATGGCTGTGATAAGAGTAAACTGACAATAGAAGAATAGCCTAAAGATAAAATTCAATAAGTGCTGAACGAAATTTATGCTATACTTACCTTTTGCACAACTATAATGTAGACAACACCATCCAATATCTGATACGAGATTAATATCACAATCATACGTTTCAATAAGAAATTCGGCCACATTTACATGACCCTCACGACACGCATAAATCAAACAGTTTCTACCACCTTCGTCACAATCGTACAGTGAACCCCCCATTTTCGAGAATTATTTGTACAGTTGATAAATGACCTTCGCCACAAGCATAATGCAGTGGTGTGCGATTTTCTTTATCCACGCAATTAACGTAATCATTTGTTTCAACTTCGATAATTGAGTCTTCTTCATAATCCCGTTCGTTGAATGAAAATGGATAAGAAATGACATGACTTTCTCCATAACGTGTTTGAGCTAAAACACGATCACCACCAACTAAAAAAGAAAAAGTATAAAATAAAAATAAAAAGTTTAATTGAATATCACTTGAATATAAAACGGAAATAGCATTAAATATAAGAGTTGTATTTTAATTCGAAATATCTAAACTCAGTAATAGTTTATTTTTGAGAAAAGTGTAAGATGGAACTTCATAAACTGAATAAACGTAGGAGTTTTCATGATACAAACTGGATGATAAAAAAGTCGTTGTTTTTAGAGAACCTGCAGGAAATATTTCAGAGAACAACAGTTTTGAACAATATTTTTTCGGTCAAAAGTCTCTAAAACGATGTAAGGCTAAGTAGTACATGAATGAAAATGTCAATTTCAAGGCTTTGAAAATGGTTTCATATAAGTTAGTCATACTAAAGTGAACCTTCAATACAAAGTCGTAATCAGTAAGAAACACACGCACATAAAATTAAGTAATTTCTCAAAAAGGTCAAAAACCTGTATGAAACCATTTTTGAAGCCTTGGAATTGACATTTTCATTCATTTACTACTTAGCCTTACATCGTCAAAATGATCCTTGAACAGTTTCAAAAACGATAATTTGATTAAAAAAATTCTAGTTAAAGATGAATAATCTCAAAAGGAAATTTTTACTATACGATAAGAGTTAAAAGTTCCCAATTATACAGAAATTCTACTTTCGGTATTTCTAATGATTTTTACATGAAATAAGCATCTTTTAGTTTTGGTTCTGGAAATATTGAGATAGTTTACTCATTCAACACGTATATATACAGTATAATTATTATCTTTAAAATGTTCACCCTCTGAATTTATCACTTAAGCATCAATGTTCACCTTGTAATTGATAAGTTTTTCCACTTCTTGATACTGTTGTTCGTTGTTGACTAGTGAATTTCAGTTGACTTCGTTTAATTGACATTTTATGAGTGTTTCTTTTGATTAAATATTCGACGATATCTGTACTACCCATACTTGACGCGTAGTGTAACGCCGTTCGTCCTATATAAAATATTTCATATTATACTATTTTACTATGAAAGCGTCTTTACTGACCTTTCTGATCGGCTAAAAATTCATTAGCTCCATGTTGACACAAAAATTTGACAAATTCGAGAGAATTTCTTAGACAAGCATCATGTAAATGTGTTCGTTGTACATCACTTTTATCTTTTCGATTAATATCGACACGACGAATTAATAATCGTGCAGTTTCAATATCGTTGTCAATACAGGCACGAACAAACGATTGTTCGTTTAATTCACGAGAATCCATTAGAAATACTAAAATACGACGATATAACGTAAGTTTGAGAAATAATAAAGAGCAAAAAAAAAGCAAATTATTTTTAACTTATTCTCATGGATATATAGTTTTAGGCTAAGAAAAATTCATTTCTTTGTCATACACACGTGTATGTCTATTTTTAGAAAGTTTTTTCATTATACTCAGCTGATTTATGCTGAAAATATTATTTTATACGAAAAAAAAAGAATATAGCTTGATCTATGGTCTACTATAGACTATATTCTCTCATCGTAGCAAAAACAACGAAGAATAAAATAAAGAAAACAGAAGGAAGAAATTGTATCTGTTAGAGAATACATAATAATTTCCGTTATACAAGAACATTTATCAGAATAGTATCCCTGGATTAGTTAAATTTAAAGTCATCTAGTTTAACTATAAGCAAAAATTTCATAACATTAAACTATAACAAGAATTCTTAGTAAGTGAGAGAGACAGAGTCCAATCAAATATTATTACATTCGAATTTTTACTAGAATAGTAGTATAAAATCATCATTCATGTATAGGATGAAGAATAGGAATAAATTCACACGAAATAATATCTAAAATATACAATAAAGGTAAGTTGTGAGGCTTTTTATTGAAAATATCATTGCTATTAGCAGCACAACAGAAATATAACGATCACATTTTACTCGTTCAACTGAACATATTGAATATAAAAAAAACACAGAGTTTTATTAAACAGAGAAGTGTAAATACGTATTGTACTAGATGAGTACTGTTTTTTTCCTCTTTCTCGACGTAGAGTGTAGAGAATAAATACGAGCCTGTATATATATATATATATATACCTGTAGATTTTTCGACATTTTTTCTTTTCTCTCCTTTTTGCTCGTCTTCTCCTTTCTTCGAGTTTCTGTTTGCATTTTTTTTAAATAAAAAGCGACAAGATTATTCAAGAATCATATGGTACTGACTACGAGAGATGTGAAACGGTTATAAACGATATTTTTGTTATACATAGAAAAGTTGAGGAAAAAAATGTTATTATCTGACGAATAAAGATTATTACTGTAATGGCATTCGATAGATTAAAAAAGATTGTAATTATAAAATTATAATATAATTATATCCTAAAGATTGAATTTAGACAGTCAAAAAACAAAAATACTGTGGTCATTTTCTATTTTTAGAATAAATAAATATTGATAAAAATGTACGTAAGTCTGATAACATTTTTATAAATATTTTTACTTTTTCATATTTTTTTTTTTTTTGGTACGTTGACCTTACATTAAATGATATTATAAAATTATTATAATTTTCTTCTTACCTTCTTCATATGTATAAAACATTATTTTTGTCACACGACGTACACGGCATTTTATTTCGAGCGCTACGTCTCTAATATCAGAATCATAAATAGTATTTATTTTCGATACAATATTTCTCATATTTATACCGACACCATTGTGGCATCGACTACACACGGCCATTAAATGGAATTATAAAATATCCTTAAATAATATCAGAAAATTTATGTTAAAGAATTTGTTACATGAGAAATAATCAAAATGTTTAAAAATAATTCACTTACGGTATTGTATACTACATCGTTATTNTTTATTTAAAAAAAATGCAAACAGAAACTCGAAGAAAGGAGAAGACGAGCAAAAAGGAGAGAAAAGAAAAAATGTCGAAAAATCTACAGGTATTGTATACTACATCGTTATTATTATTATTATTATTATTATACTGTTCTAAAACATTATCACTGTTAATGTTTCTTACAGAATGAACAGTTTTTTTTTATTATTCTCTTTTTCGTGTCTATGTTTAGTGGTATGATTTATACAGTGAAAGATAATAAGGTCAAATCGATAGATTGTAGTATAACGAAACATTACCCGACTCTTTTTCACATTCTGTATATTAGTCACTAAAAGAAGTAAAAAAATATTTGCCTCTATTTCAACTAACATTGTTCAAATATAAGGACGTCTATATGACCTGTCATTGACCTAACAACAGGAAGAAAAATATATTGAAAGAAAAATATAGTAAAAAAGAAAATACATATATGCTTAGTCAAATAAAGTGATATATATCAATTAAAAATTATGTTTGACTCTTTTTCTTTTTTTTATCATCTATTCATTCAGTTTGTTGAAATATTTATTAGATCACCTGTATGTACATCTCCACAATTATTAAAGAAGAAATATAATGAAATATTTATTATTTTGTTAAATCTATATAGTTGTACAAAAGTATGTTAACAAGATTGTCCACTAAAGTTAGGATGAAATGTTGTACCACCAACTGTATAACATAAATTTCTTGGACCATTCATTTCTTGTCGAAATACTTCATTCCATTTTCCAACTAATCGTTGATTTTCTACTCTAACTTGAACCCATTCTACAACTTCTGGCAATTGAATAGTTGTAGATTTTCCAGCATAAATATTTCCACTTGAATATGTAAATGTACCAATAGCATCCCGAAAATCAATCCAAGCACGCGCAACATAAGCACCTTTACTGTCAATCTTTATCGCGCCACTGTGTACATTGACAAACATACAACCTTGAAATAATAAAATTTTACTAATCGTTCATTATTTGAATATTTTTATTTGTAAACAATTAGAAACGGTATTATTAAACTATGTTGTTAAAGAAGCTAGAATTGTTGAATAGACTTACTGATGATTAATAATCCTAAGATTGTTTTATTCAACATCTTTTCTTTTTATACGTGGACTTTGATGAATGTACAACCAATGACAAGAAAATAGAATAAAACATCTCAAATATATTGTTTTCATACCTGAAAATGTTATGATTATGGTACGATTATTTAATAAAGCAGATGCTTTCTATCTCACCATAGTGAATTAAAGCAGAAAAACACAACATGGTGGTAAAGATATAAAAAATAGGACTGTAGTTTTTAACAAAAGTGTGAGAAAATAATTATTGTGAAGTTTTTTCGAACATTAGGATTAGTATGAACACAAATTATATGAATAATGATAGTTACATCTATAGTTCCTCAACAATTGTTTTCAAATATCATACGTTAAGTAGAAATTCTAATATTTCTTTATTATGTTTCCATGATGATATTTATCGAATCACCCACAATTCCACTAGAGACATGCAAGGCGTCTTTACCTTAGGACTCAAAAATTTTTTACATAATAGAGCCCGGGTTGAACAAACAGCTATTCTGCACCTCTCAACATTTCACCTGTAGTCTTTCAGAAGCAAAGGTAGAAATTAAATATTTGTCAAGTCACGAGGGAACCTTTCGAGGTGATTAAACGCTTTTTGCTCGGAATCTAGTGGGTTATAGGTTATCGACCATGCTGATTACGAATATGACCATGAGAGTAGTCTTTAGCCCTTCGAAGACCTGGTTTTCTAGAAAACCAGTTTTTCCGAAACTCTAAAATATAACCCGAACTTTCTGATTAAAATGAGACATCTCCCAGCTTTACACGACCTTTCTTTGCACAGTTATAGAATTTACAAGAAAAGCCCTAAATTAATTTCTTCGTATTTTTGTAGCTTTGAGCTGACAATGAACATTTAGGGCTTTTCTTGTAAATTCTCTTACTTTGCAAAGAAAGGTCGTGTAAAGCTGGGAGATGTCTCATTTTAATCAAAAATGTGTGGGCTACAATCATACCTCGTTAACAAAGGTTCGGGTTATATTTTAGAGTGTCGGAAAAACTGGTTTACTAGAAAACCAGGTCTTCGAAGGACTAAGGACCACTTCCATGGTCATATTCGTAATCAGCATGGTTGATAACCTATAACCCACCAGATTCCGAGCAAAAAGTGTTTAATCACTTCGAAAGGTTCCCTCGTCAGTTAAACAATACGCTGATATAAAAACAGAATTGATCTTGCATGTTATCTGATAGGTATGTTATAGCGATTTGTTCATTTCTTATACACAAAACGTATTCGATTCAATTCATCTATTTTGTTTTTTTTAGTATTACAATTAACGTTAATGTGAAAAGTATCTTCAGTACTCGGTGTTTTTTGTTTACATGTTTTCGCTTATACAGATAATTTTTTCTACACCCATTTCCAGATGTAAATATGCACTTTCTCACGAAAGAGTATTATTTTATACATCGAAAACATAATAGTAGACGTATCGTAAACAAGAATGAAATACCCGTTTTAAAAGCGATGAGATAGTCCAATACATTGGCTGCCGTCATCTAATAATAGTAGCAATAGAATCTACTCTTCTTCATACTATATACGGTGATTACTACACAAAACTCATTTCATTTTCTATGATAAAGGTCAATAGTTAACAGCATATGACGACCAGAGAAGAACAATTGACATATAAATAATATGAATTGTATCATATTGAATTCAACCAGTTAATCAAAATATAACTGCAACTAAATATACAGTTAAAACTAATCGATTTGAAATTAAATAATGTCAAACATTATCCACAACAGTCACATAAAGATTGAACAAATGAGAGATATGCAGAGCTGCAGAATATACCTGTTTGCTCCGACGATCGTCGAGGGAAAACTTATTGATTCGAGGAAATTTTTTGAAAAACTTTTTCTTTCGAAGGAAATATTCGAATTTCACGGGTAGATTCTGCACCTCTGAAGATATGGTTAAAATAAGTTTTATATTTGTCAAAATTATTTTATTCTTAAAAAATATAACAGAGGGACAAAAAAAAAATAATAATAATAAACTCATTTGCACATGCCCAAAACAAAATAATCTAAAGATAGAAAACAAAAAGTTATTTCTATAGTTAGAAAAAAAAATACATTCCGTTCTTAAAAATAGAAGACGAATTTGACTTTGATATAGAAAAATAAATAATTGAGATCATTTTAAACACCGAGTGAATCATCTTCACCGTCTGAAGAGAGAATAATACAAGAGTTTTCATCATTTTCATCTTGATTATAACTTGTTTGACGCTGTATTTTTGAAAATAAATCATTATCACTGTTAATTGATTGTTCCATTGAATGGTGGTCATCGATATTTGAATCCAAAGCTAAAAGAGATAAAAAATCGAACATTCTTTCCATATTAAAGAGACTAGATATAAAAGATGTCGATATTAGCAAAGCTACTGTATTGCATGATTCAATAGGGATACAAAGCCGCTAAGGTGGAAAAAAGATGAAAGGTGTTGTTCAAAAAAGAATTAATCATAGTAAAAAATGTAAGTGTATAACATACGTTTGAATAGTTGTGATGTTTGAGATTTTAATTTCTTCTTTATTTGTTTTTCATTCATTGAACTCACATGTCCTAGTAGAACAGATTGTTCTCTTTCATAATCACCCAATAGATCTAATTCATTATCCGCTGAATTTGTCATTTCTTCATAATATCGTCGTTTTTTAATTTGAAGTGTTGTATGTGTGACTGGTGGCAATTGACTTTTAATAATGTTAGTCTCTGGAAGAATTTTTGAACATATTTGATGAATTCGTTTTAGACTTATATGAGATGGATACGCTATCGGATGAATATGAAGAGGTTGAATACGTCTACAAGAAAACATAAAAAATATATAAATAACAAGTAAAAAAAGTGTAAGAATAGCTTAAAGTAATTCTATTAATATTAAATCAGACACAAATTATGTATTAAATCTTTCAATACTCTAATATTCGCTAAACTCTTGCATCTAACAACAGAATACATCATACCTTAGAAATGTGACAATTTCAGAATAACTCGAATGTAATGAATAACATAGTCTGTAGGTTTTATTTGTCCAATCATCATCGAGTTCATCATTATTATCTTTCATATAACTGAAATCAGTTTGTTTTCGATATCGTATAAGTAATTCTTGAACATTCATTACTTGAGTAAACCACATTATGGATAAAATGATTTTAATACGACCATATGGAGATTGACGATAGGAAATGCATGGACAAGAGAGAAATTGATTTGATGAACCTAGAAAAAAAAATAATCAAAATACCATTACTAATGAAAGAATACAAGAAGCAAAAAAAGTTAAATTTTATAATATTGGTGATTTAATACATAGCAAATTACTGTTACTTGAAATTATGCTAGCTGTTCTTAACTACCAAATAAAGTTTAGTACATACGACAGGCATGTAGGCATGTTTCTGTTGGATCTGTTGTTAAACATTGTTGCACATTTGGTAAACAATCATAAAGTTCATATTGATGATGTTCGACATGTATCTTTTGTTTAAATCGTTGATATATCTGTTCATAAATATATTCATATCCAACACGAGCACTTGTCTTTAAATAAATCTGATTTCGATGAATGCTATCGAGTCCAATTTGTTGTGCCAAAAATCTCATTAATGCTTCACAAGCAGTTTCACGTGTTGGAATATAACGAATATTTGGATGAAAAAATGTCATATCAACATATAACTTGGATATTTGTTTTTGTGGTGACCATTTGTTGAGAAAGCGTTGACATTGTTTTAAATAAAGTCGAAAATCACCGGTGAATAAAACATTGCCATTTGAGCCTTCTAACAACACCATCACCGAACCGGGACAATGACCACTACCCACAAATGTACACAAACAGGTGTCTACATCACCTTCACCAGTGTCTAAGAGAAAAAAAAAAATTTTGATTAGATGATATTGTGAGTAAACCCAAAAATTACATAACGTACAGCACAAGCATAACTGCTTGAAGTAAAAACATACTTTTCTTTTTTTGTATGATAAATGGTTGTTGTGTTTGTATTTCTTTAAGATGCCTGTTTAAATGTGCATACTGTGGTAAACGAGATAAAAACTGTTTCGATACATCAGAACAGTAGACAGATAATTGCTGATTTCTCAAAAATAAATAAAATTCTTCGGTTTCTAATCCACGTAAATGATCGGTGTGAATGTGAGTAATGATAAATGTTGTTGAACGTTGTATATTTAATTTTTCAAAGCAATCGATTGATATCCAAGGGTACTCTTCTATTACTCCATTGTATGTACACATAACGGATGATTTTTGGACGTATTAAGTAGAATTTAAAGTGTAAATAAAATAAATAAATATATATATAATAAATTCACTCCCTTCTCCTCATCACCTGTCAAACTAATGTTTCGTAATAAATGTCAAATAAAGAAAGAAATAACTATCGTTCAGACCAATTTCATTGAATCATTTTTCAGCAAAACAGAAAGTATGATATCACCTCTTCAAATCTGTCCTCTAGCTAAACAAAAGATGTCGTGTTTCTGACATTATCTTTTCGAATATCTAACTGGAAATGGTTAAATTTTAAAATAAAATAAATCTAGATGGCGTTATGAGAAAGTAATGCTAGATTATACAGATCTCAAATAGTCATAAAACAAGATATTTTTTACTAGTGTTTTATAGCACAAAAAGGTCTACAGAAAGAATTTGTCGCCTGATATTACGTGTTTAAATGTATCTTGAAGATATAATCAAATTATGCATGATCAGAAATGTTTTAATATCCTCAGTAAAAAAACAACGTTGAATCATATAATTTGAGCTTCCCAAACATGAAAGTTTCTGTCTAAATTTCATCTGGCGATTTCGTGACAGAAACGGTTTACATTTGACAAGTAGTAACTCAAATGGATAGTGTAAATTGATATAAAGATTATCACATTTGTTAAATTGATTAGTTCGTGACAGTTTCTATCGTTATTTCTTCTATGCAATGTACAGAAACGGTATTTTTTTCAAAATCTTTCTTGACGAACTTCGTCGATAATACTCTGTTATTTTTTTTTAAACATTTTCTTTTATTATTTTATTGTTACTTTTGTCCTTTCACTTTTAAGAAAATAGATACCGCAACAGAATATGGGACTATAGAATAACTCCTAATAGGGTTCCCGATCAGGGGGGTGCTGGTCCCTCCCTAAAACATTTTTTGGACTTTCTGCTAAAAGTTTTGACGTTTACCGACCAGCAACTTTCGGCCAGAAAATTTTGAAAACTTTTTTTTGTCAGCCACTTTCTTCGAAGCAAAGTTTTTAGCCCCTCCCAGCCCTAAGAACAATCGGAAACCCTGACTCCTATGTTCTGAAAACATATTCCTCGCAATCCGAGTCCACTTTCTTGTTTCATTCACGTCGCGAACGCGGTCCTCACTCCACGATCGCGCAGCTCGTACCGCGATCGCTAAGAAATCGCTGTTGTCGCGGGGCGACCGCGATGAACTCTTACTTTTCGAAAATCTGTAATTCGCGAGCGCGAAGCGACTTTTTAGCGATCGCAATCACTGTAAGAAAAAAGTATCACGTCGCGATCGCATTTTTCTCTTACAACTACGATATGATACAGGATCACGGCGCGGCTCACGTGCAAATTCTATCCACCATTTTGTTTTGCTTATGCTCCCTGTTATATAACTCTCACTGATTTTTCGAAAAATTTTCAAAATCTTATTACATCTTAATAATAGCTTACGACATGACTAATATAGTCCGCGCATACGTCATTCGTCTGCGATCGCGGTGAAAGTAGCGTGGCTCATTTACTGATATTAGTGGGAAAACGCGAATAAACAGTAACTATAGTAAAATACTTGAGTCATTAATTTTTGTATGAGCGCGAAAAAATCACCTCATGTCTTTTTTCGCGAGTCTTACAGCGAATGCGTTATGCGATCCTGTCACGAATTTTTAAAGACTCGCGTCGCGACATGCGATAAAAAAGTGAACTTCGGGAGATCAAGATGTGCCACATCACGAATGTTTATTCATCGAATAGAGAATCAAATGTTATTATTGTGCGCAGAGAACGTCTACAATATGGAACAGTATTTCATCATTATCTTACAAGATTAGTGCGTAAATGTTTTATAAACGAAAAATAGCAAAATTCTAAAATTTGTGAACAAAATGTTTATATGAGCGGACCATTCATTTACACATTATGTACAATATTTGTATTACTTGATTTACAAATAATTATTTGTTGTCTGATGAAATGTTTAGGCAAACGATTGCTCATCATTTTTTTAAGGAAAAATCCAAAGAGTATTTGCTTAAGGTATATCCATTGTTTGGCATATGATGGACATCTACTCGATATGTTTTGCTATTCGTTTAATATTTTTCTTCAGAGATACATACATACAACGTGCATAAAGTATCATTCGAGTCTAGCACATCCATTCGTATTATGAGTACTACTATCTGTTTCAAAATAGAATGCAGTCGGATATTTTTTTAATAACTTTTGAACCAACAGAACTAGCGCATTGCAATTTTCAGTTTTATAAACTAGACACCGGAGCACATATATCTGTAGAGAAATAGAGTCGCTCAATAAGGTTTACCATGGTAAGTCTATGGAAGCAAAATGTCCGACCTTGCCATTTTTAGAACTTACATAGTAACCTATATTCAAAAACTGTCTGAGATATAGAACAAACTTAGTTTTGTCCATT